GAAAAAGTGCCCATAGTTGTGAGTTGATCTACCTATTATTTTTAATTAAACAAATATATTTATTTTTAAAAAATGTCTTCAAGTCAAGACAGTCAAAAGCGCCCATAATTGAAGAAACACCCCAATATGAGTAGATCTCTCAAGTCTCCAAGTTAGACTAAGAGGACTCTGATAAGTATACTCCATGGATCAGGTATTTAAAAACTTTCCAGAATGCAACTGCATCACCACCATATAAAGCACAGATGGTACTAGGCAATCTGAAGAATATCAGAAAAGCGGAACGGGTTCCTGAGATCTAAGCGATACAGATCATTTACAATTGACAATGATGTCACCCTCTGTGGGAGCCATGACAACGTGTTCTGGTTTCCCCAGCTGACACTCATAACAAAGAGAGTCTCAGTGTGAGGACAGACCCAAAGAGTCCATTTGAGTCCAATCACACCAGAGCAGAGACAAGCTCAAAGCTTTACATTGACAAACAAACTGTTCTTAAACTGGGGCGAGGGTGAAAGACTCGATGAGAAGCTGCGAAGAAGAGAGTAGATGGACGATGATTTTTACGCCCATCTGCTGGACTTCACAGGATGGTGAGGATGATGAAGAATTTTGCTGCTTCACTCCCTTTTGACAGCTGACTTCATGCCAGCCTTAAGGCACAGTGTCTAATTGCATCTTGCATCCTCGAGCGATGTGGAGGATATCTATCTATCTATCTATCTATCAATCAAACATAAAATATTGAATAAATAATGACTATTTTATTATAGCAAATAATAAACACAAAAACTAATAATTATATCACAGTGTGTGAGATTGCTACACACACTGTGAAAAATATTTAATAAATATCTTTATAAAAATATCTATAAAAAAAATCTATAAAAAAAAATCTAATTATCTATCTATATATCTATACACGCAGTTACAAAAAATCCTATTTTAAATAAATTGTTATTTTTAACTTTTTATTCAAAGAATCCTGAATCACAGTTTACATATTTCCATATTATTTCTCAACAGTTTATGTTCACTTGAGAATGATGATATTTTTGATGATATTCGCCAAGATATCATGTATTTTGACACAATCTTGTATGTATATGTGTTGTTTAAAGTGCCAAAAAAGGGAAAGTGAACGTACGACACGCCTCTCTCTGTCACACAAAATTTAGCTCTTTAAATTTAGCTCTTTCATGTGTGCTCGCATGCTGTAAAATTGCTTGAATGTTTTAACTGGCAAGGCTTAAAACCATGTGCAAATGATAATCTTTCGTGAGGACACAGCAGTGGTCCGATCAGAACCGTAACAGATCAGTTATCTGTCCTGAGCGTCTTTCACACTGGCCTCTGGACAACAGACAGTCATTATTGTCTTGCTCTGACCTGGTAATGATCAGATATGTTTTTTAGCTTGTCAGTATGAATGAAATGTATGAATTTAATTGTAAATTTAACTGATTGAAAACGAAAACAAATGAGGGGAGTTTGAAAGATTTCTTATCCTGTGGCTCCCTCTAGTTGAGTGCAATTGTCCTCTAGAGGGAGCTCAGCCAATGTAAGTCTAAGGCAAATTTTTGATTTTTAATAATGATTTATCCGAAAACTGTAAGTCTGCTCCGTCTGAAAAGATATAGCAACAAACTACACATCAGGGCCCAGGTCTCTGCCGAGTTCGGTGCATGTAGCATGAAAGCCCTAGGAGGAGATACAGTCAGAAATTTTAGTCTAAGAAGAAGAATAAGTAGTTTATATAGCATAACAGTATGTAGGCTGTCTCAAGCCAACATAATGATTTCTGAAGAATTGAAGGATCATGTGACACTGAAGACTAGAGTAATGACTAATGAAAATTCAGCTTTGCCATCACAGAAATAAATTATATTTTAAAATATCAGATATTTTTTTTAAATGACAAGGCGAGGTTAGTTCAGTTTAAATTCTGTAAAGTGTCATGTGCTACGATATCGCCAAAACAATGATATTTATAAATGAATAATCCACAATATCTGTAAAAACCTTCTCACCTTGAAAATATATTTACGATTAATATGTGTACCTTTGCATCTATTCAGTGTGTGAGGAAAATATGTGCAAAACTTGATGGTTAAATTGCATTTTTAATGATTTTAGTCATTAAAATTAAAACTTTTCTTAAATTATATGGATTTTTTTTTTTAACCATAGGAAACAAACATTAAAGTATATTTAAATAGAAAACTCTTATTTTAAAATGTTGTTACAAAATGTATCATACATAAAAAAAACAAATATATATATATATATATAGAGAGAGAGAGAGAGAGAGAGAGAGGGATGGATGGATGGACGGATGGATGGATGGATGGATGATTGATGGATGGATGGAAAATAAATCTGAAATATTTATAAAATGTAATTGTTTGATGTTTTCATGGTAGTCTATATGTCCCTAGGTCTCCTTCATTGAGATTCAGAGTCGAGCTTGCAAGTCATGGGTACTTAACCAGACTAAAAGCCTGTGAATTATTTACACTGTCTGCTTCAACAGGCCCATGCATGTGTAGAGGGAAAAAGGGATATGAGAAGAAAGCAATTAACATAAAAAGGGAGAGATAGAGAGAGAAAAACAGACCTATGATTTAAATTAACCATCAGTGAGTCATCACCACAAAGACAGTATTGACGTCTGAAGATGAATGTCTCAGATAAACTAGCAAAGGAATCTTTGATGAGTTTACTAAAAGACTATCAATTAATCGGTCATATACACTCGGCCTACATCAACTGAGATTTGTTTGATTTAAAGATTTAATGATAAAAGACTGAAGGGTACAAATTAGACTGTTTTTCCACGGATTTCCATTGGAAATTCAAGCAGATGTTGATTCTGAAATGTAATTAATTAATTCCATCATTCATCATCTGAGATTAAGCTGATTTAAATGGAGTCTCGGTCCACAGGCATCCTACAAACCTCCTTTGTGTTGAAACCAGTCCAGTCTTAAAGGGATAGTTACACACTCTCATTTCAAACCTGCATGCTGTTTGTTTTTCTGTAGTACACTAAACATTTGTTTTTCCCACACAGATCTTTTACATATAACAAAAGTCTGTACAGCACCATAAAGTATAATAAAAGCAGTCCATGTAAACTCTTGAACTATATTCCAAGTCTTCTAAATCATACAATGTGTGAATCATTCAATGCACTTTGCGTGAAAAACAGGCCAAAATTCAAGTCATTATTCCATGAAAATCTTCCTCATCCAGTAAACTGTGACCAAAACACCTGAGTAATTTTACTGATTAAGAACCAGATTATAATGTTGGGTCCGAGTCGAGTCCAAATCCTTAACCAACTGAGTTTGAGTGGGAGATGTTTATTAATGTCTTGTTTTTTTAATTTTATGTTGTTACTTTTTTTAAAGAGCAGGTCATATGGTATTTTAAAGTATCCTAATATTGTGTTGGAGTACCCTACAACAGGTTTAAATGCATCTAAGATCAGAAAACATTGTCATTTTCTCAGAATATACATTTAATATTAGAATCATTTTTCAATGATTTCGAAACAATTCGTTAGAAGCAGTTCTGGGCTTAAGGCCTGTAAACCCCTCCCTTCCATAAGCCTACTCTGCTCTGATTGGTCAGCTGGCCAAGCCTGTTGTGATTGGCACA